GAAATATTGAAGTTTTGCACATCTCATCTTGTGTGAGGCGCTTTCTTTGAAGCAATTGGAGAGACAAGGTGGGCAAGATAATATCTTGTGTTGATCAACTTCTGTTGGTGAGAGAGAAAATTTTTGAGCTACACCGGGGTGGGCAAATGTTTTGGCCCGAAGGCCGCATCGGAGTTGTGAAACTGTATGGAGGGCCAGCTGGGAAGGCTGTGTCTCCTCAAACACCCTGGCCCCTATCTGACCCCTCCCACTTCCCGCCCCCTGACTGCCCCCCTCAGAACCCTGGACCCATCCAACCCCCCCCCGCCCCTTGTCCCCTGACCACCCCCTCCCAGGACCCACCACCCCTAACCGCCCCCCAGGGACCCTACCCCATCCAACCCCCCCCCTTCCTGTCTCCAGACTGCCCCAACCCCTAGCTACACCCCCCCCCCCGACAGGCCCCCGGGACTTCCACACCTATCCAACCCCCACCCGTTCCCCGTCCCCTGACCGCCCCCCCCCAAACCTCTGCCCCATCCAACTGCTCCGTCCCCTGACTGCCCCCCAGGGCCTCCTGCCCCTTATCAACCCCCCACCCCTGCTCCCCGCCCCCTTACCATGCCGCTCAGAGTGGCAGGACAGGCTTATTGGAAAGCCTGGGAGGTGGGTGGGTGCAAGCCACGCTGCCCGCGTGGCTGCGAGGGAGGAGGGACAGCAGGGGATGACAGCAGAGGAGGGACAGCGGGAGCTCACAGGCCGGGCAGGACGACCAGCCCGCGGGCTATAGTTTGCCCACCTCTGAGCTACACACACAGAGCTCTTCTTCAGCCCCAGGCCAAAGCTGAAAGCAATTGCACAGCTTCATCCAGCTCTCTTACAAACCCAGAGGTGGTGCCGGTCAGGCCTTCCTGTGAAACAGCTGCCATTTTTTAAAGAAGACAGGGCAGGCTGCAGAGTAGAGCGAGTGAAGCTTGCACGGCTTCTGTGACCGAACATAAATGGGAGTCCATCCCATGAGAGTCTCCTGGGAGTCCTTGACAGGGCCATTGCAGTAGCAGAGGGGCAGGAGAAATCTTTCCCAGTCCTTCCTTCGCTTCTGTTTCTTCAAGGGCTATTTCATGGATCTGGTTTTGCCATCTGGCCTGGATTTTTGCTACATAAAAGGGACTTTTTGGTTAAACAACAAAATAAGGCTTCTTTTAAAACCCCAAACAATCCGTGCGTGTCTGAGCAACACACTTTCCATACGGTGACAAGTTAATTTAATATAAAATGTATGTCTAGTACTTGAACTCAAGTGATATGGTTTGAAAGCCATCTCTGCACATCTAAAATCTCAGTCATGCTCCCATGTGCCTGTTATGTATGTTTATTAACCAACATTCGTTCCTCTTGACTTGCATTCACAGCTGCTTTCCAGACTCGATCACGCATGTAAATATGATTTGTGTGTCCGAGTTGCCATGCAAATCACCAAATTAGATGCACACTCAGAGTGCATTGCGTCTCAAGAGCACACTCTAAAGGATGGTTCTCATTACATCACTTTCATTTTCAACAACTTCAAAATGAGCCGATGAAAGTTGACTTGCGGTGATTGTCTTTGGAAGCCCAATTTAAGGCTTGATCCTGCCAGGTGCTGAATACGCTAGCCCCAATTCAGCAAAGCATATATGCATATGCTTAACTTTAAACCCATGAGTAGAGATCACTGGGGCTACTCATATGCTTAAAAGCTTTGCTGGATTAAAGTCAGAGTGTTCCACACTTTATAGCCTCAAATCCTTATAGAGCTGGGGAACAGCCATTCAGAAAGTTACTTTGGACCTAATGACTCCATTAAAACATGCTGGCCTCTCGTATGATAGAAATGGTGTCGTAAGCTTACAGAAACAACATAAATACGTACTAAGGAGCTGTCCAAGTAATAAAGAAAGAATATAGCTTGAAGGAAATTATGAGAGAACTGGTGGTTTAATCTAAGGAGCGTTATTAAGACATAAGGAACTTGTTATGAAACATACTGGCAGCCTGTTCTGCACATGTGCTGTGCTAACATTAAGATTTATACGTTTATTTATCTGCATTAGAAATGTTACTGTCTCTGGTAGTGTTATTTTTATTTACAACACATTTATTAAGCTTCTTTTGGAGCTCCATTAAATCATGGCGCAGATCCTCAGCTGGGGTAAATCAGCATTATGTCCATTGACTTCAGTGGAGCTATGCTGCATTATGTCAGCTGAGGATCTAACCGATTGTTTCTAGATTGAACTTATTGATGGGAGCTGGTGAGAGGCTGAGATATGAAAGCAGCCCTGGTGTAGTGGAGCCCTCCTTATCAGACTCACCGGAGATCATTCTCAGCTGCTTTCAATGACATCAAGGAGAACAGCATGCAATTGGGAGTGCTAGGCTAGTGCGGTAAATGGAAAGACTCATGCTGGTGCCAGCAGACTTTGAATTCTGTCCCAGAAGAACTAGATTAATGAGAAGGAGGATGGATCCTCATCTTTCCCCAGTTCTTCATCAAGGGGAATGTGGATGCTGTATCTGCTGGAGCTGATGATATTTGGTGTGGTAGAGGGAGTAGGTATCCTAGGGCTGGTGTTGGCTCAGGCTGACAAGTGAGAGCTAAGCAGGAGGCATCCATGAGTTGCTGGCCTACAAGGATCTTATTTAAACACAGAAGCTTTTAGAGGAAGAGAAGGTACAGCTGGTGAGATCCTGCCACTGTTGAAGTCAATAAGAATTTTGCCTCTGACTTCATTGGGACCAGGATTCCACCTAATATCTTGCAAAGCATTGTATTCCAGAAGTTCTGCTCTTCAACACAACTACTGGGTCAGCTTAAATTTAGACCATGGCACTTCAGATACCCAAACTGGGTGTGTCTGTTTTGAAGATGGAGACATGTCCGTTCTTTCCCCTGCCACCAGCTGCATGTACAAAAGGGGGTGTGGGGAGGAATCAGCAGGGCAAAGCTGAAAATTATGCCAATAAAATGTGCTTGAATTAGAATCCTCTTCTGTCATAGGCTTGCAAGGTCATGTGTACTGACCCAGCTAAGGAGAGTAGAGAGCAGATGACTCTCTTGGTAACTGGTGTGTATTTGGTATGTTAGCTTTACATACCGCAGAATATTTGTTACTCAATTGTGCCGGGTCTTCTAACTTTTAAAATAGTTACAGCAGAATAATGTAATATAAAAACACCTTACAAGTGACAGAAAATGATTAGAAGAAGGGGCTGACCTTGATCAAGACAAGCAGTATCAAAAGAAAAATACAGATATTTCTGTAAGGGCCAGTAGACTGTTCCAGGCCTTGGTAGGAGAGATTATGGCTCTGCTTTTTTTTTCATACTTAAGTATCAATCTGATTTTATTAAACCATTCTGTAAATGACCTTTCCAATATGTCATAACGTTTCTCTGGGCAACTCTTTATAAAGAGGTCGAGACATTATTTAGCCTGTCGGGTTGTAGCTATTAATGGAAGATAAAACATGTGATGGTCCAGGAGGATGATAGTAAACGCTTGACTTAGATTCGGAAATCCTGGCCCACATTATATCTATCTATCTATCTATGTATCTATCAGAGAACACATGCAAAAATATGGGGTTTTTTTTGACATGTCCACTGCATGTATTGTGATAACCATCTTGGTTTAATCTGTCTGGAATATGAGTGACATCAGAGTTGAAAAGCAGGAGCAAAGGATAGCTGCAAGATTCCAGATTAGGTACATTTTTAAGGCACAACCCAAACCATGCAATCCCCTATGCTCTGAGTGGAGTTCTGCATGGTCAAACTGTTAATAAATACTTAGTCCTTATACAGTAAATTAAGGTTTAGTTCCTGCCCATTATTAAATCATGATATAGATGCTGGGCAACTGACGCAGATCGCTGGCCTACCTGCGTCAGTTGCACAGCGTCCGTACCATGATTGGCAGGTACATGGCAAGCACGTTCATAATAATCTTGTTAGGGCATTACCTGAATTGCATATGGGTTTGGTTTAATTAACATTCCACCAAGAGCTGAGCAACAGGCATGGTGACAAGAAAGTCTTTTGTGCCATTAACGCTAACAAGTTATGCACATGCATCAAAAGGAGATTAGACCCCAAGGTTTCTAAATACATCAGGGATCACAGCGAGCAAGAAACAAGTCAGTGTTAGACCTGGTGATGCTTGCAGAAACAAATGGAAGAGATTGCTTAGTCTGGAGAAGCTGTATCACTTAAACCAAGGAGTAAAATATTTCCTCTTCCAAAAAGCTGTAGTAAAAGGTCACTGTGACTACTACCTGCGCCAGGTACAGGACCTGCTCTAAAGCCCATTGAAGTCAAGGGAAATCTTTCTATTCAGTTCAGTGGGATAGGAAGCAGGTTCACAATCCTGTTCCCATTGAGGGCAAAGGCAAAGCTATCATGTATTAGTGCAATATCAAATGCAACTCACCCCCCACTCCGCCCAGCTACATTAAAAAAACCCATTCATTTTAAAAACTAGGGGTGCACTTAGGAACAGCCAGACTGCATCAGACCAAGGGTCTCTCTAGCACACTAGCTTCTCACTGATAATGCCCAATACCGTTGTTTCAGAAGGCGGCACACTAAACCCAGCTGCATACAGGTATGGGATAACCTGTTGTCCCTTAGTAATTAGTGGCTGGTTTATGCCCTGGGGAAGGAAGGTATATATCCCTGCTTGAACTCTTGTTTAGGCTTAATATTTACTGCTCTAATGCTGTATATTCTGGTTATCCATATAAATATCCAATCCCTGTATGAATCCTGCTTTGCTCTTCGCCTCAGTGTTACCCTGTGGCAATGAGTTCCACTGGCTTTTGGAGTGGAAAAGGATGAGGCTTATTCTCCCCCTCTGTTTGCAGCAATCTATACGCCCACGTCTATGGAGCTGGAATGGACACTACTGTATGTGATGCTATCACCAGACTCTCAACAAAGGGAAAGCACAACATTATCCTCACAAACTGACACTGAATCCATTACAATTTTTTTAAAAGAGCTTTATTGAATAGCTTAAAGCTTCCAAATGACATGTGCTTTCAGGAAATGTTCTGGCACCTCCATCAACACCGTTAGTTTTGTTCATATTTACATGACTGTGATAATGAGTATTTAAAAAAAAGTATCTAATGTTACTGTCCACAACAAATACAAGATGGTGCCTAAGGATGAAAGCCTAGCCCCACTGACTTCAATGGAAACAGCATTTCAACCCCACTGCACATCCTCGAGTGTTGTGGTGGAAACGATTGGTCTGACCTATGTTTAAAGGGCAGCAGAGTACGTAGAAAAGATTCATTTTTAAAAAGCCATCATTCACAGCTAAGGCTTACTCAGTCTGTACATTGGGTGTAATTAAATCCTGTTCTCAGACGACAGAGCTAAGAAATATGATTTTTCACCAGTATTTGCAGTGAGTTAGGAAGTCATTAATCATACTTAGGCCCAGGTTCTCAAAGATATTTAGGTGCCTAATGGCAATTGAAAGGAATAGGAGTTAGGTGCCTAAATACCGCTCAGGACCTGGGTGTTGGTGTTTATACAAACCGTTATAAGCTTAACTAATGAGCCCTCACAACTCCCTGTTGTTATTATCTGCAGTTTATGGATGAGGAAATGGATACATAGGACTATTGATGGTGAGTGAAACTCTATGGAATCCAGCGGCCTTGAACCCACGGGCTTATCTTTATTCACGTGAATTGGCTCACTGAAGTCAATGGGACGAGTCAAGAGTAAAGTTAAGCAGATGTGCAAGCAGAGATGCTGCCGCACCCCTTGGCTTAAAGTGGTTTCCATCATATGCAGGGTTTACAGTTTGGTTCAATGGCTCCCAGCGCCCCTGTGTGTAAGTCGTTGCAGGACTCCAGTTGTTCCCGCTTAGTTTTCCCTGCTTCTTGATGTCGATGGAATTAACTTTGCCCTTTTCTTGAAGCCTTAAGTGGTGCACGGGCTCATGCTGGTCCTCTACACAGGGTGAATTTCACCTTTGTTAAGTTACTCTGCTTATGGTGCCTGTGGGTTTGGCTCAGAGCCATTATCCCAAGGCCATACGGCAAGTCGTTGGTCTAGCTGGCATTAGAGCTGGCGACTGCCTGGCTCCAGATCCTGTACGCAGTCCACTAGACCATGAACTACTGTACACACACAGCCATGTACCAAGGCATATTGCCAACCGAGTATGTGTGTGTACAGCCAACCGAGCATGGCTTCAAAATGAAGATGATTGCTATTAAGCCGAGTTAATTTGCCCTGTGATGAAGGTGCATTAGTAAAAGTGAAGTGACTAAATGAGGGTGACATTTAAGCCTTCATGATGGGTCCCTGAGCCCTGATCCAATACACCCTGACGTCAGTGGGAGCCTTGCTGTTGGTTCCGATGGACACTGATCAGGCCCATGATGACAGTACGTAAATGGTTCCCTAGCAGTGGAAGATTCCTCTCTGATACGATCGAATCGAAAGCTCACGGAAGCCAGCGGAAGGTTTTGCACTGACTCTGGCTACATCGGCACTACGAGCGAGCGGAGTGACCGTGTACACAGCCTTCCGCTAGCTGTCGCTGAGCTAGCAGGTGCATGAGCAGCAGTGGAGCTGTGGCAGCCTGGCTGGGGGCAGTGGAGGTCTGGCTGAGCCGTGCGGCGTACACGCCTGCCTGAAACGGGTGGGTGTGTACTCAGTTCTGCTGCCGCTCCCGGTGCTACCATAGCTACCCTGCTCTCTAGACTCACGCGAGCTCAGTGAGAGCCAGCCCCAGTCTGCGTGCGCCAGCAGAGAATCACACTCCTAGCTCACAGCGTAGATGTAGCCTTTCATGGACATTGGAGCAGGCCTAAGAGCAGAATGGGGGCTAGGTGCTTTTAAGGTCCCTCTTGGTAACAGGAAATAGCTAAAGAAAAATGATGCGGCCCTCCAACAATATAGGAACAGGTATTGCACTGTACGTTCCAGCACTTCGTGAGAAGCTAGACTTTTTTTTTTTTCCTTTAGGCTTTTCCTAGACAAAGCAAAGTGTAGAAATAGAGCAGTATCAATGCAGAATTAGAAATCTAAAGTCATGTCATTGTTACAGTCAATTTAAGAAACACAAAAAGCATTTTCCCAATCAACCTGTTAAACCAAGCTTAGACTTCACTTTTGCCATTCACTTCTTTTTTTAGTCCCTCTTTTTCATCTCTCAAAGATTCCACCTCTGGACCATCCTGCATCTTTTCTCTGGCCCAGATATTGCCATCCTCTGTTTCTGTCCTTATATGTTTGTTGTCCTTCATTGTCTCTTCCATCGCTTTTCTTTCCTTTTCCTCTTTCGCCAGCATACGGTAATTGTAGTAATTCATGATGAACAGGAACGTTCCTGCCAAGACCATCACAGCTCCACATTTAATGAACATGTATTTGTAATCTCCAAAAGTATCTATAAGCGTTCCTGTGAATTGCAAAACAAAAACGCAGTTTAGACGTGAAGGCAAAAATTGAAATATCTACGGTGGCTTCCATTTCTGAACACCAGGGCTACTATTGTGATTGTAGCGCAGAATAGGATATTTTCTGTCCTTTCTAATAACTTAGGCTCTGATCCTGCAAAGGCTTAGTGTTTGCTTAACTTCACATCCTATGAGTATCATATTGAAGTCAATTAAACTATTCACATTGCGTAACGTTAACCAGGTGCTTAAGTCTTTGAGTGATGGAGGCCTTGTACTGTAGTTTCCAGATTTCTTAGGCACATGAAAAATAGAACTATAAAATAAAATATTAGAATTCATTATAAACTGATGTTTTTGTGCTATTAAATGAATTTAGGGCTTGTGCAAAATACCAAATTACTGAAGTCCTTTTGGCAACACCAGTTTGTCTCCATCACCTTGCCATCAAGTCTCTGCCTTAGCTGCAAGAATCACCTGATCTAAAGGCCACTGAAGTCAATGGGAGTCTTTGCATTGATTTCAATAGGCTTTGGATCAAGCATGGGGTGAATAAGATCCACCTCGCAGACTCAGTCCTCAGCCTCTATGTTGGGGCTGCAGACAGAAATGATAATTGTGACAGTGGCCTATCTGATGGGACACCTGGCCATTAAGAAATGGGACTGAGACCCACCAATTCAGTTCTTCACAAGCCACTAAACAGCAATCGGGTGGCAATGACATTCAGTCATTACCAGCCTTGCCTGGACTTGAACTGGTGAACTAGAGGCGAAAGGGTTTTCCATAGAACTTGAAACATTAGTTGCAGGGAAAGCAAAGAGGGTGCCGTCAATGTTAAACATTTTCAATTAGAGAGGCCAAGTGGGTGAGGTAGTAATCTTTTATTGGACCACTTCTGTTGGTGAGAGAGACAAGCTTACACAGAGCTCTTCTTTAGGTCACCTGTGTAAGTTTGAAAACTTGTCTCTCTCACCAACAGAAGCCAGTCCAATAAAAGCTATTACCTCACCCACTTTGCGTCTCTAGTATCCTGGGATCAACACGGCTACAGCAACACTGCACACAGCTATTTTCAACGACAGGAAAAATGTGAGTTTCATCTCAAAGGTTAATGCCTTGGCAATGGATTTATGGAAACATTGAAGAGATTTGGTTTAATTGAAATGTCAATGTTCTCCATTATGTCAAATGTAACATAATGTAAACCTTGTTGAGACTGTGATGCTGAGTATTAATGCCTGTCCACTGGAGCAATATGGACTGAATTTAACATCCCGAATCCTAATTAAAATAAGATTGACCTCAAGCATAGCCTTTTTAGTTCTTTCTTGCAATTAATACACTGTATGTAAGCTCTGACTTTTTGAAACCATTTTTTCTCATTGAGAAGGGGAACCTTTAATTACTTCCTGAGTGACAACTAATCTGTTGAAAGTCTGGGGATTAATTATCCCAAAGTATGCTTACACTAACTAGGTATTTTATGGCCACTAAATATATTTACTGATTGCAGAAATTATTATTTCAACTGGTTTTGGTCATCAATCTGCTTTCTTCTATAGACATCCTGGTACACAGCTTTCAATATATTTTCTTATGAATGGTTTCAGAGTAGCAGCCATGTTAGTCTGTATCCGCAAAAAGAAAAGGAGTACTTGTGGCACCTTACAGACTAAAATTTATTTGAGCATAAGCTTTCGTGAGCTACAGCTCACTTACTCATAAAACATCAACCAAAGGCTAATTACAGCAATTCTTCCTTCTTGGTAATCAGGATGATCTGGAAGTCTGTTAAATAGGTTTCAATGAGGGTTTTAATGAGTAGAGTATTGGAAAATTCAACAGTAGGCTAGTCTTGCCTCTTGTCCTTTGAGAATAAGAAAAGCCATAAACCACACAGGGAACAATTTTCTTAGTTCATTAAAGCAGAACCCTGCAGTGGGTTATTAAATGCCAAAGAACCAATAAATTTGTTGCTTATTAAAATGATGAGAAAAATACTCCAAAACTAATATTACTAACTATTACACAGCACTGTTTTGGCCTCATTAGCAGTCTTTGGCAATTAGCTTAATCTCTTGCGTAAAAATGACAGAACTTAGAAAACAGTCACCTTCAAACCGTCCGTTTGCCATGAATTATATAATGGCTCTGTGTGAAAAGAAGAGACTGCAGCTGCTTCTGCCACACAGTGCAAGCTGCACCGCGAAAGGAAGAATTAAACTGCTCTGTACAATGTGCGAGAATGAAGCTTAGTCAGCTCTTAGGTTGTCTTCCTATGAAAGTCAAAACCATATTAACGCTACCTTTCCCTTGCGAGTTCCTTGGATTTACTATCACGTACAGTAGTGCTCAAAGGTGCTATCACTGGTTAGCAGCTTTATGTCCAAATACCTGCCGAACACTGAGCCTCGTTCAAAGTTGACGGCCATTCAGCGCGTGGAAAGGTAACAGATTAACTGGACTAGCAGCAGACAGTTACCCTATCCAGATGCAGGTGCTGTGTAAGCCGCTCCTCCTCGCCTGCACCACCCTCTGCTATTCCAGCGATAGATGGAGAATAAATGCCAGCTGGATGTCACATACAAACTCATTTAACTCATGGCCACGTCAGGTTTGATGAAAGGCCCGGAGAGGTGAAAAGCGTGTTAAATAATTATATCATGTAGATATTGTTGGCTCCTTGATGGGAAAGGAATTTACAGTACCTGCCACATAATGACACAATATAAGGTAATTTTTTTCGCGGGAAAATCCTTCTACCTCCTGCCAAGTGACTATGGGCATTGCTGCAGGTTTGAACACGTATTGTTAGTCTGGACCCTTGAGGAGAATGAACTTAAAGCTAGATGTTATAAACTAGACTGGTGCGCATCGTTAGCAGATGTGTTCAGTCATACTGCTCACGTGTTTCGTTACAGGTGTGTTCAAGTACTGGGCTGGGGCAGGTGAGAGCTGATAAAGGTAAGTGCTGCTCTGGTTGCTTTATCAGATGGAGCACACGCAGTGACTGCAACCAACTTGCAAGCTCTGCACAAGTGGGACTTTTTTGTACTTTCAAAGCCAAAAGGTACTGAAGATGCAATGAGAGGACAGACTATTGGAGCCTGGGTTCTCAGGGTGTATGTGGGAGGGAGGGTTATAATCATAAACGAGGTCCCCAGATGCCCATCTACTGACAGCAAGTGGCCTCGTTTTTGTTTGATGTCATCTTAAATTATCAATCCTTTATCAGAGTGGCACTTAGAGCTGTGAATGATTTAGGACTCTTACTCTGAATAACAGATAATATCTAGGGCTCTCATCCTCAATGATATTTAGGTGCTTAATTCCCATTGATTTCAGTGGGAGGTAGGCCCAGAGCCTCAAAGGCATTTAGGTGCTTAGCTTCCTTTCCAAGAGTGCTATCACATTCACAGAGATGCTGCATACCTTTCCTGCAGTATTGATCCAGGGTTGTTACAGGTTGTTTTTGTATCATCAGGTTGTAGTGCAACAAATTGTAAAATGGTGCTTGATAACAGAAAGAAAGCCGCGTCTGAGGAAACCTTGTGACAGAGCTGGTCGGTGCTGACCATTTTGCCCCATACGTCTAGCACTTAGCAGTATGCTAGGCACTTTACAATAACAAAGGTCCCTGCTCTGAACTGCTTTCAGTCTAAGATGACACACAAAACGAAGTTTTTCATGTGACATATGAGAAAAGAATAAAGGCACCCAGATCGCATTCATATTTATTTTCTATTTTGTCAAATGTTTTAGGAATATATGACATATTTTTTAAAAACTGTAAGAAGGAGAAGCAAAAATTCTCAAATCTATTCAAAATAAATTATTTTTCCTTTTAAAAAACAGTCCGTTTTCTTCATTACAGACTTTACAGCTGGAATGCTATTGGCCAAGCTGAGAGGATGGAAATCTATAAATGGAAGTGTGCCGAGTTCCTTTATGGCCAGAATGTACACCTGCACAGAAATTAAAAGCATATACATCTGTGGCTACATGGATCTATTGTGTCCTTGCAGACAAATAAAAAACATCAGCTAAAATCCGGGGGGCTCGATTCAGCGAAGGGTTTCAATGGGATTATTATCATGTTTAAAATTAACCATGTGCTGGATGGTGGCCTTAAGCAGTCAATGCTCTGCAGGATAGAGACCCTGGCATGTTAACACTTATGCATGTGAATAAGTTTACATATATGAGTAGTCGCATTGCGTAAAGCCACTTACACACCTACGTGTTTGACGGATGAGGCCTAAAGGCATCAGCCTGCATCCATGTCACACACACACACACAACTGTTGGTTCCAATGGGAATTTTTACATATGGAACATATGCAGGTTCAAGATCCAAGGAACAAACACATGAGAGATGATCTTTTTGTTTTTAATGTTGCTAAATCCTCACTAAGAAATCACGGAGGACAAATCTATGACCTTTATTACTCTATACATAATTACTTGCAAAAAAAACCCCAAACAAAGTGGGATTGAAATGGAGAAGATGAAGTTAGACGCACCCCTCTGCAAACTGTATTTATCTCAATATCAATCTGGGAATTAGAGCAAAAGCTGACATGTCACTAGAGTTATAGTATAGAAACATACTCACCTCCAATAGGTGGTCCAAGAAGTATAGTGCAACACTCCACTATGGTGACAAGGCCAACAGCACTTGTGAATCGCGCAGCTCCCACGAGATCCATGAGGGTTTCAAAGAGCATGGCACAAACCATACCAAAGGCCAAGCCAAAAAAGACAGCGTATATGACTAGACCTGTGTAGCCTGTGGCTAAGGGGCACAGGAGATGGCAGGCACCATTAAAAGCAATTGAAAAGCTGAAAAAATACTGGATCTTTGGCCTCACCCATTTACTGTTGGCAATAATTCCAGTGGTGGGTCTGGCGATCATATCGACTATTGCAAGGATAGAAAGGAGGAAGGCTGCTGAGTATTCATCAACGCCAAGGTGCTTCGCGTAAGGGGCCAAAAAAACAATAGGGGCAAAAAATCCCAGAAACATGAGCACATTTCCAATCAGGTAAATCAGGAAACCTCTGTGCTTAAAGAGGGAAAAATCAAGGTACTTATTAAACTTCTCACAGCAGTCTTTGTCCTCCTCCTCTTCTGTTCCGCTCAACAAACTGACAGTTTTGGGATGGACCATTTCAACCGAGCTTTTATTGGACTGCTCTTTTACAGTCTTTTCAGCTTGCTTGATGGTTTGTTTCTGAGCAGGGTCAGCTGCCATTCCAATGGGCCGGAAGAGAGCACCAGCCACACAGCAGTTCAGTAAAATTGCCCCAAGAATAAAGAAACTGCCCCTCCAGCCAAAATTGTCAAAAAGGAACTGGTTCAAAGGAGCAAGGGTACAAAGCATTACGGGGCTCCCAGCCATGGCAAGACCATTGGCGATTGGTCTCCTTTTCAAAAAGTATTTCCCGATGATTATCACTGAAGGCTGAAGGTTAAGAGCAAGGCCAAATCCTGTAATGGAGCGAAAAAAACAGTGACAAAAGGTATAAATTATACTGCCAGTTCCTCATTTCAGAATATGGCTCTGTCTAAATCAAGGGTGAGATCCTCACTGTCACTCTGGCCCCCTTTATACCAGGTGCAAGGACTGGACTGGCATGAAGCGGCCCTAAAAGCCCCAGCTCTGGCCAGGGGAAGGATTCACCCAATGCAGGAACTCAGGAAGACAGCCATAAAGCTGCCTCCAAGGACTCCTTTGCAAGCCTTGACAAAGGGGGTATGCGGGGGGCAAAAGACCCAAGTGTTTTTGTTCTGTGTTTGTACAGCACCTATCACAGTGAAGCCATGACTAGGCTCCTAGGTGCTTATGGTAATATAATTAACAAGAAGTCAGGGCAGCATGCAGTCCTGAGGAGTTTCCAGGCAGCATTGTGGCCCATAGAGTAACCTTGAGATGCTGCTGTAACTTTGCAAGTCCCCTGGTGCTGTCCAATTTATGCCTCGGGCCGCTTCAACCCCAGAAAGAAAAGGAGTACTTGTGGCACCTTAGAGACTAACCAATTTATTTGAGCATAAGCTTTCGTGAGCTACAGCATCCGATGAAGTGAGCTGTAGCACATGAAAGCTTATGCTCAAATAAATTGGTTAGTCTCTAAGGTGCCACAAGTACTCCTTTTCTTTTTGCGAATACAGACTAACACGGCTGTTACTCTGAAACCATTCAACCCCAGAGCAACCCAAAATCAGGAGGTGCAAAGGTGGCTTAAAGCCACTTTCCAGCCCCTTACCATGGGCTGCAAATCTCACCCTTATAGTCATGGCTCACAGAATATGGAACTCTGTATCCCTACAAGACCATATAGAAGTTAACAGGTCCCAAGTGCTTTTGTCCAGACACAACAGCTTGGCATGATAACAGTACCCATCTATTACAAAAAATGATGGCTGCTTTGCCACTGCTAGCATCTTATCATGCTTGTATAATAATATTATGGCCTGGTGTCTGTGACTTGATCACACACACTTTAGTGACCACGCAACTAAACAGCCCTGGACTTGACTGGCGCTTTTGACTTTAAACCAGGCTTTTGACCATCTCCTGGTGCTGAAGTTGTCCTCGTTAATATAGCTGCTGCCAAACTCATTCTGCCAATGAGCAATAGAGTATGGTATTTAGTAACCACAGTAGCTCCATCAGAAGTCCTGGAGACCACTGACCATCAAGTGTCGGTGAAGATGGTGTGGTCTCTGGCTCAGAGCTGTAGAGCTGCTTTCAAGTGGCCGGGATCATTCCTGAATAGAAGAACTACTGTGGGTGCTTATGGGCACTCACCTTTTTCACTGAGAGCCTTCTGGGGAGTTGCAGGATTTCACTCTGTCCCCAATTGCCAGAGGGGAGAAAGGTGTGGCACTTGAGGAGTCAAACTAATTTGTACCTTCACTTCTTTGACAGCACAGAGGGCCATATTACAGTGCTGGTCAAGGCTGCTTTCTTTTTACCACTGATCAGTTGCACACATACTAAATGGGAAATGACTGCCTAGGAAGGAGTACTGAGGAAAGGGATCTGGGGGTCAAGGTGTATCACAAGCTAAATATGAGTCAACAGTGTAACGTTGCAAAAAAGTAAACATCATTCTGGGATGTATTAGCAGGAGTGTTGTAAGCAAAACACCGGAAGTAATTCTTTTGCTTTACTCTGCCTTAATTAGGCCTCAATTGGAATATTGTGTCCAGTTCTGGGCGCCACATTTCAGGAAGGATGTGGACAAACTGGAGAGAGCCCAGAGAAGAGCAACAAAAAATGATTAAAGGTCTAGAAAACATGACCTATGAGGGAAGATTGAAAAAAATGGGTTTGATTAGTCTGGAAAAGAGAAGACTGAGAGGGGACATGATAACAGTTTTCACGTATGTAAAAGGTAGTTACAAGGAAGAAGAAGGAAAATTGTTCTTCTTAACCTCTGAGGATAGGACAAGAAGCAATGGGCTTAAATTGCAGTAAGGAAGGTTTAGGTTGGACAGTAGGAAAAACTTCCTAACTGTCAGGGTGGTTAAGCACTGGAATAAATTGCCTAGGGAGGTCGTGGAATCTCCATCACTGGAGATTTTTTAAGAGCAGGTTAGACAAACACCCATTAGATAATGGTCTGCCACGAGCGCAGGGGACTGGACTAGATGACCTCTCAAGGTCCCTTCCAGTCTTATGAGTCTATGCTCAGATACCAAAGTGACAGGCAACCTTATAAAAACTTGACCAGATGAATCAACTCTTTCCACTCACATGCAGACCTCTCCCTGGTCATCCATGCTTTTGCTACATCCAGACTACTGGCGATGTCAGCATTATGTCATAGACAGCATTTGGTATTTAACCACTAGAGGGCAACGTGCTTACATGCTTGATTAGGACTCACATCCCAGCCGCTGGAGGGCTGTGGCATCCCTGCCCACTAAAGAAGGGCAAGCAGATCTAGGAATCAAGTGCAGTAGCACCCATCTCTTCCACTGTTAGTTAGTATGCTGATGTGAGCAATTTAGGCAAGAGATTACAAGCCCTGAGCTGTCAAGAGCACAAGTACATTGTAATACCAAAAGTGACCCCACTGCAGCTCATACTAATGTAGAAGGTCCCTAGAGCTAGAGACGTTTAAATTAAAATACCTTTTTTATTGTATTTAAACAAAATAGTAATAGCATTATAAATCTCCATAAGTAACTCAACCACCTAACTGACCATTAGCTCTCCTATTGCACAAGCTGAAATCTGTTTTCTGCCACAATGGATGTTAAATGTTGGACGATCAGATCATTCTTGGGTTCTTTAGGATACCAGTAAAGAATCTGTTCTACTTAAAAGATGTTTTTAAGCATCTGTGTCCTGCTATTCCTCACAAAATAAAGTTATGTAAGTAATGCATATTGGCCTTAAAGTTACATTTAGAAATATAACACATTTTCCACCCTAGCCCTTACCTAAAGAATGATCCCCTGTAAAACAAAATTGAAATTTCATCCTTGAATTGATAATACTGGAAAATGTGAATCTTGAAAACAGCACCATGCCGATTTTTTCCAGTTCGTTAATCTATATAATTAGTTTGTTTAATTGTGCAGTACCTGATTAAGCATATCACTTTACAGCATAAAAAGTAGGAATGTCAAGGTCCTTCAAATTAATTAAGGAAAACTATTGTTAATAAGAAATATTAGCTACTCAGAATTCCATTGGTTTTGTGCAGCTCAAATTCCATATATGCTATGATAACCAAGATGGTGTTAAACGATTGCTTTCCAACTGTCAAGCTTCCATTTAAAAAAATTAACCTAATGTTTTGAAAATGCAAAAGAAGTTACAAAACAAATACATGTTAAAATAACCTTAGGGCTATATCCTTGGTAGGAAATTCAGACATAGGTATGAAGCACAGTCCTTAACTTGACCTGTTGGGTCTAGGTAGACCATAAATGTGGTGGGATAAATCCTCAGTTGGTATAGATTGCACAACGGGTGAAATTCCCCACTGTGCAGAAGTCTAGCTCAAGGCCTCTAACACTAAAGGCCAGATTTTTCAAAGTATTTAGGCATCCAACTTGCATTGAGAGTTAGGCACCTAGATACCTTTAAAAATCTGGCCTAAGATCTCCAAAAAAAAAGCATACGTGAGATTTACAGGGTATATAGTTCTTCTAGCTGGCTTTCAGCAATAGCGGTAAATTTCCCCTGCTAAGATAACCCAGTGATCATAGAGACCTGCACAAATGGAAGTAACTGCAGTTTTAACTCCAGATTTTCCAACCTCTCTCAGATGAGTCTGGAAACTTACCGTTAATTTTAATGGACTGTCTTTCACAGGAATCTACAATATGCATTGGCCAAAAGAGTCACTTTTAGGCGAAAAAAAATTGGGTAAGAAGCCAACTATCCATTTAACCAAATCAATTAGAATCTTGTATTATCTGACCATTAATTTACAAGCGACACAAATTAATTTAATATAACCCCATTCTGTTCCTGCTAATTAGGATCCAAGTTTCAAACTTACTGACTGGACGTTCTAATTACTTTAGTCTTTTTGCTAATTTTATTCTGAAATATTTATATCCATTTTCTTCTCATTTGTTCTCACAGCAAGAGGGATCCCAGACCTTAAATTGATCCCAGCAGGTGGCATTTTGTTCCAAATAAATTAGAGAGGCTGTATCATGGTGGCCTAGAAGAGGAAGTCTGAGATGAAGAGAAGTAATTTGGGTATGATGGAAACCATCCTTTCACCCATTATTCTGAGAATCTGTCCATAAAATGATTTTATCAGGAGCCTTGCTCAATAACTACTGTTCTCTGTTACATATCAGTAAGGGTATGTATGTCTGTACTGTAATCACACCCTGTGATTGCAGCTGAAGACAATACACCCAAACTAGCTTTACTGTCACTAGCTCAGGTCCTGGCAGCATGTGTTTCAGCACAGGCTAGCCGGCGACTAATTACTCAGGGCTCCAGATGGGTTTGTACAGCCAGGGCTGCAGCTCGTACTGCCGTGGCTTTGTTGTTCCAGGACCCGAGCTAGCAAGATTAAAGCTAGCTGCAGTGGGTCATCTCAAGCTGCAATCGCACCCTGTGATTAGAGCCTAGACATAACCTAATGGGCTAAATTTCAATGGCCTCATAGGAGGTGTGATTTTCCATAGAGCACAGGGCCAGATTTTTCAAGCGCCCAGCACCCACAATCAGAGCTAGATTTTCAAAAAAGGCTCAACACACAGCTGCGGTCTTCTGACATCTCCTTAGTGTCTGATTCAACGCCCATTAAAATCAGTGTCTTTCCACTGATTTCCATGAGCTTTAGATCAGGCCCTTAGGCCAAAACCCTCTTCTTGAAATCAATAGGAGTTAGAATCATAGAATCATAGAATATCAGGGTTGGAAGGGACCCCTGAAGGTCATCTAGTCCAACCCCCTGCTCAAAGCAGGACCAATTCCCAGTTAAATCATCCCAGCCAGGGCTTTG